ATAGAAAACAATTTTAGAACTTGTCATAAAAGAAAGAAGACCTTTTTATTATAGACTTTAAATAGTTAGATGCGTGGCTTACTTCTGCTTAAAATAATGCAGTAGGTTGCACTTAGGTACTATTAGAATGACTGAATGATGCTAGGCTTAGTTGTTAAGAATATTTATATAATTGCAAATGTAATTTCAAAATCTTAATAAAGCACTAATATAATTGCTTAAGGAAAAAAAAAATATAGTAATATTTTAGTAAAACTTAAAAAATAATAGAAAATAACTTTGTTTTTTTGTGAATTTGTCTTTTGTTTTAGTTATATCAACTTATTTATCATTTTTGTAAATTAAGCATTATGTAAGTAAATTGACTTGTTAAAATAACAGTTATATTTAAAAAGAACAAAAATAGGTAAATTATTTAAAATATAAAAATTTAAAATTGTAACCTATTTAAATAACAGTTATAATAATAAAAGACTAATCAAAATTATTGCTAGAAATTTTTAAAATAATAATAATAATTTATAATAAAAAAGATTATATTAACTAATTAATATTCAGAAAAGCTATATAAGTTGCTTAATAATAAAAGAGAACTACTTGTTTAGTGTTCTTTATCATAATAAGTATATAGATAATAAAAAATAAAACAATTATTTTTAAGACAAACTTTTAATATATATAATAAATTAAACATTAAATTAACTTTTATATATTATTACTAATATTCAAATTTAGATAAATTTTAACCATTTTAATTAATTTAGATTGCAAATAAATTAGTTTGAACTTTTACTTTTTTTATAATATTTTAAAAGTAAATTTATATTTTATATATATATAAATTTTTAATTAAATATTTAAGAATAGAGTACATATAAATTATTTTTTATATAACCTGCATGACAAATTTTTTTTTTTTTGATATTAAGGTGACCTCTTTGGTCTTTTGACTTGTATTAATTACTTATCAGTATTGTGGTTCAATGAACTACTACAGGAGAGCATACAATTGGCTACATGTATAACTTTTCTATATTACCTATTTAAAGAGTCTGTCTGAAGATTCTTTACTAATTGCTGTATCTAACACCTCTGTTTGAGTGTTCTACTTTAAACTCTTTAAACCTGTAACTTGTATTAACATCACTAGGTCATACTCAGATGCCCAGATTATCATCTCAGCCTTAGGACTAATTTATTCTTAAGATAAACCTCCCAGAGCCTTCTGTATCTATTTTTACAGCTAACCTAGATATCGCTATGACAGAACCAATACTTGTGGTAGGGCTAACTATTAAACTGCTATGCCCTTATAGAGTTCACTTAGATCCTAGCATTTATTTCACAGTATAACCCTAATATTTTAGTATATCCTTGCCTTTTTTTTTATTTTTTTACCAAACTCTCAATCCAGATAGGACTACAACTAGTTTATTGGTATATTGGGTCAGCTCAATATCTTTTTCTTCCAGTTTGTTTTGACAGCCTAGTTGGTGCTACTCCTAAGATTCTCAACCTAAAAGTTCTTGCTCATCTGGTTACTACAACTAGGTACTAGACCTTGGTATTCATTTCTCTGAGCTAGCCTTTACAGTAGAACCATCAAAGATCCAGCTACCTTTCTACTTAAGTCTTTTCAAATGAATTTCTTGTTACCCAATTTCAACAGATTTATATAGTCACAAGGACTTATCTAGTGTTTGCACTGCCTAATCTGTTAGTTTGCATTTCTCTATATAACTCTAACATTGCACAGATGCCCCATAACCTGCCAGTCATACTAATATGATCATCATTACAGATATTCTAACCCAATTGTTAGTAACAGTTGACATAATATGAATATTACATAGGTGATTATTTAAATTTTCACTGTTAATGGGATTTGAACACCCAATCTACCACTTGGGAGATTGACAACCTAACCACTTCACTAGGTCGCTACACCTCTTTTGCATGACAAATTTTTATTTTTACAAAAAATTGAAAGCTGTTATAATAAAACTTTTTAAGTTTACATTTAAATTTTATCAAATTTTTATAATATATAAAGTTAAAATATACTTTATTTAATGTATAAATTTTATTTAATTAATTATTTTAAAAAATATACTTGTATATAATACAAAGTTTTTTGAGATAAATTTAAATTTTCCAAGGTAAACAAAATAATTAATTTTGATTAGTTAATTTTTATAAAATACAATATAAATTTTATTTAAATTTTAGAACTAAATATTTAAATATTCATATTTTAATGAATATTTAACTAATTTTAATGATTTTATTATTATTAGAATTACAAAAACCTGTTTTACAACTTTGCTTAAAAGCTAAAAAATAGTTTATTTAATAAAAATTAAGTAAAGTAAAATATTAAAAAAATTGTACATTTAATTTATATATAATTTGCAAAAGTTGTACTCTACTCTTAATAAAGATAAAAGCATAACTTTATTATTAATATTAAAAAAAATAATTAATAAGTAAATAACTAATTTTTTAAATTGCATTACAAAAATAATTAAAATAATTAAACCTATTTTATTTATAAAAATATAAAAAAAATCAAAAAAATAAAATTACAAAATTTATTTTTTAATTTATTAAATTTAATATTTTTAGTTTTTTTTAAAAAATAATCATTTTTATTATTAAAACTAAACATCTAACCATTATATAATTCTGATAAATTTATTATAATTCTGACCATGCTTACCATAATTCAGATCAGAATTATAATTTTTTTTTAATTTTAAAATTTTTTGAAAATAATAAATTTATACTGTATTAACCAATTATATATGTATAAAGTTACACAGCATAGCTATAAATTTGACTACGTATTACTTTTTATACTTGCTGGTTTAAGGTATCCCGCACTGTATATCAATATAATATTAAATATTTTTTATTACAAATAATACGTATATGTTGTACCTAGCTGTCAATTTGTTTTAAATATCAATCTGATCTAAATTAATTTGTTTAATAATTTGCTAAGCATTTATATAATCAATATCTGAGCAGTTCCGATTGACGATTGGAACAAATTTGTATTTGGAGCACAACATATATCAAAATATAAAAAAAAAAGATTAAAAATAAATTTTTATAGTATACATGCATATTCTTGTATTAGAATTTGATGGGTATTAAGCAATAATGCGCGATTTTAAATCTAATCTAATCATTTGATTGGGTTTTAGATTATTTTTTAAGTATATATGCAAAAATACGTATGTAGTATCACATCCAAGAGCTTGATTGGATATTGTTAACGGGCATTGCATAGTTTGGATTAGAAATACGTATAGGACCTTCGCTGCGTTTTGAACAATTACCAATTTGCTATGTATATATATAGTATAAATAAATATATCGATATCTAATAAAATAAACAAATTTGTAAGCTAAACTAACCGAAAGCACTTAACCGAGCTAATTTTATAGTTAACCGCAAATTTATTGTATTGATATGAATGTATGACAAAATTATTTACTAGCGAAATAATAAATTTTATTGAATATACGAACGTTACAATTTAATACGTATATACCGATACTGTAATTATATATAAATTTATTATATATAAATTTTAGATATACATTTTAAATAAATAAAGATATACGTTATATATATATATATATATATACGTATATGTACAATCAATATAAATATATACATAACAATTCTATGTAATTCTATGTCTATACAAATATTTATTTGTATACAAGCCACGTAAAAATATATATTTTTTTGGTTGCATAATCGGACCTGGTAAGTTTTGTAGATCTTTTATAAGTGAATGTTTCTAGAGAGAAGTTTAGATTGAAAAATTTTTTTATAGTTTAAAATAAAAAGCCGGGTAGTCGGGTCACATTTTAGAATTTTATACGTATGAGAACTAAAGAACTAACTTTAAATAGCCTTAAATAAATTTACGACATATACATAATATGACCATCAAATAGTATCGGTTGTATCAGTTGTACAAATATATACACGCATATTATAATAAAATATACAAATACATACAAAATATATATAATTAAAAATTAAAATAATTAAATTTAAATAGTCATGTTTAACATCTATATATCAATATTGAAATTATTTAGCCATATATGAACTTTAATCGTAATAAAATATGTTGGTCAGGCATTATATGCACAATCTTCACTAGGTTAGTAAACACGTGTAATATTTCAGTGACAATTGGCAATGGTCGGGGCCATTATCTTCACATAAACTATAATTTATTTATAGCAATAAAAACATGTAGAGATATAATGTATATAATCAACTAATACTGTAATATGTATATTACTATTATTAACTATATATTTACAACAGTTTACATAAACAGAATTTCCGACAATCACGTTAATCGAAATTGTGTAGAAGATCAATAGTAATCTACTAGTTGTTAGTTGTTGTAGTAATTATTTAACCGATAAACCAATCAAATTAGTACAATCAACTCAATTCATTTTCCGAAACAAACAGTTACAAAAATTTTTTGCCACACGAATATGCAAAATTGAAAATGGAAATTGATCAAAGCTTTAATTCCATTTTTATATTATGCTTATTGGGACTTAGTTACCGATTCCAGGTCCCATACATTTTCCCACAAGCCCCTTTTATCACCCTAAAATAAACCAATGTAGATTTTATATTAGTCGCGTGTCACTTTACTAAATCAGTAACTGCATTTTTTTCCGTCAAGTCGGGGCATGTTGTTCGTGGGATCATTTTATACTTCCATAAATGATTCCATCAAAATAATGACAACATTGCCCTGGATCTCTATAAATTCACATTCATTCCCACCCTTCATTCGAATTTTTTTCTTCTACTCATCCAATAATAAATTCATATTTTTTTTACCCAAATTACTCAATTACTCAATTGCTCAATTCTTTTTTTTTTTTCTTTTTACACTCAATTACTTGATACTTAATAATATCCAACATTTAATATCGGAATAATAATAATGCCACAAACAAGAAAGGCTTCTTCTGCAAAAATTGTCAATAAAGACGCTACTATCGGTTCACGTAAACGCAAGAATGATTCCAACAATCCTGAAGATGATGAACAAGACCAAATTAATCTTACCACTGAAGAACAAATTTCTCAAGAAAACGGTGTAAATAATAATTCCGAAACTCCTCCGGATAAAAAAAGAAAAACTGATGACCAAGAAGACCATCAGAACAATGGTAGCAAAATTGATCATAATGGCGATACCGTCGTTCATGACTTACAAGAAAGTCATCATGACCTACAAGAAAGTCATCATGACCATGATCAAGAAATGACTGAAAGGGAACCTGATACGAATGGTGATCATTACGAAAATGGTGACCACCACAAGAATAACGGCAACTTAACCTCTCAAATTTCTCAAGAACTTGAACCTGAATCTGAACCGGTTCAGAATAAATCTATCGATACTGAAAAGAAGGATGAACTTGCAATGAAAATATCCGTTAATACCCTTGAAAAGGGTCACGTCTTATTCCTTTACAGGCCAAAAGTATGTTATTTCAAAATCACGTGTTCTTACTCAATTATTAAATACTATTATTCACGTGATACTTATTTTCATTTTGGTTTAGCTTGGCGTAGATAATCCAAAATCTATTGATGATGTGCAACGAATGTACATGGTTCTTATACCTTACCTTGTTCGTCCCTCTCTTGATAAAGATCCGGTTTCTAGTTTTGCCCAAAAACTTTCAACTGGTAACCTTGATGTTGAAACCGATGCAAATGCAGATAATCAATCAATTGGCAAAACTCGTGTAATTATTGTCGGAAAGAAAAAATTACCCGAAATTAACAAACATGAGTGTTTTTGGGGATTCGTTGTAAGTTACCAATTTCCTATTCTACTAATGTACATATCATGCATATATTTACGATTACTAATATATTTACTTAAATATATATCTTTATGAACATTAAAAGGATCAAGCTTTCAATAATTTGGACGATATTAAAAAATTCTTTGATCCCTCCGACCCTCAAGTACAATGCAGGCTTTTGGTATGCAATAAATTGATCACGAATAATTTAACGTCTTTAAAAATGTATATTGCTAACTATTAAAACTTTATATCTTATTATTATAACAATAGGGTCGAGGTGTTTATAACATCGTAGAACACAATAACAGAACACACTTGGCTTACGTATTGGAAGTTCCAGAGGATCCTTTTCAACTTCAACTTGAATTTAATGTTGGTAAAAAGGGGTCTTATGCTCTAACCGTCAAAAATCCTGACGTTGCCAATCCTCGAAATGTTGGCCTAACCGAATCTGAGAAAGTCAAATTCCCAGAACATCTCTCAAATCATTTCCGTGGTAGACGATTTATTTCGCTTCCAACAACAAATTTCTTAGATTATAATGGCGCTGAAGTATTATTTATCGGTGCCAGAAATGACATAGCAGATGAATTAGGTCAAGAAGTCGGTGGTGAACTTGAAGGTAATTAAACTTTTCATTTCTCATTTATCTATTGATTATTTATCTTCTTTTTTTTTTTAATCCTAATTTTATTTTTTATTAATCTAGAATTTGCTGAATTGGAATTGAAATCTTTTGCTCCGTTTGATGAGCAAGGAATCTTTGAAGAATTGCACCTAGAAAAAGGCGTCATACCCACCGAACCGGCGTTCCACGGCTTGTGGAAATAAATAAAATAGTACACATATATATATATATACAAAAAAAATAAAAAAAAAAATTAAATACAAAGAAAAAAAGAAATTTTCTTGCATTGTAAAATAATTTAGTCTGATGCAAATGACAATTCAAATGCTTTATTTCATAGTGTTATATAGCAGTAAAATTTAGATTCTTACTTTATACTGTAATAGGGTTTGCAAGAATCTTTAAAAAAAAAAACATTTTTTTATATTGATATAATATTGCTTTTATGTTTTATTTTCCATATCATTGAATGTTTGGAATCGAATGTGCTTTAAAAATTGATATTCTTAGCTTTTAATAAAATACTTTGAATAAAAACTAATGTTTGAAAAATAATATTACAGTAATTTGGTGTTTACCATTCTGATAGAGTTATTTTAAATTTTGAACCTATATACTTAACGTTATAATATGAAAATGCCTCTGGTTTAACCGACATCTGGGATATACCCAGACAATTTGATTTTTTTGAGGTGCCGATATAACAGATAATCAGAGTGATGTTTATAATGATATTAAACTATTACATAACTGATAGAAGAAAAATATCGATGTTATCAAATCAGCCACTGACTTATACGTACTCAAATCTAAAGGTAAAACTTAAATTCAGCAGTCAAAATTCTACACTCAGTAACTCAGTAACTCAATAATAATCTTGAAACATACGTTTTACAGTGAGCATATAATCACGTGAGTATAAAGGACATAAAACACGCGTTTGTAAACTTCTAACTCGCCGCGTAACGATGCATCAATTGACACAAGAAGCTTTAGAAAAACATTTAGACTCTTTTGGTGATATAACAATCTTAAAGAACCAATTTATTGAAACTTACGTAGAAGAACAGCAACAACAAACTTTCAAAATGACTGATAAAAAGAATTCGAATTCAAAAAACAATAAGCCAAATAAGAAGCACCATAGAAAAACCAAGTCACTGCTTGCAAGTTCTCAAATTATGCAGGTATAGGCATTACGATTCTCAACAACTTTATCAGTGATATTTTTACTTAAAATTAATAAACATTTATAGAACTTTTCTTCTCGTAACCTTGGGACAAGACGTGTTACGGTGAGTATGCGTAATTTTCTATTTAATAACCATTAATATTCTTATTTTATTTTTTTTCGTGTTAATCCTGACATTTAAATAAACCAGCTTCGTTCGGATTCGAAACCGGGTATTTTTAATAAAGGAAAGGCATCGGAAAAAGTTTCTACCAAAGGAGGTAAAAAACGATTAAGTTTTGTTTTTCATTAATTAATATTAAAAACTGACAAAAACTATTTCAAAGTTCCTGATTTGGTATTTTCCGAAGTTGACTTCCTCAATTCGAGGTCGTCAAAGAAACGTGGGCGTGACCAAAATGGCAATACACATTCAAAGAAACGTGGGCATGATCAAACTGAAAAAACACATTCTAAGGGTTCTAATCACCTTAGTACACGAAGAGTTCGCCGTAAAATTGACAAGATTCTTCAATCTCAGGAAAAAGATGATGATTTACTTTCAGATGATAGTTTACCATCGTTGAAAAATTATTCCATTGTTGATTCAAGTAATTCTATCCAAAATCTAAGTGTAGATAATTCATTCAATGAGAATGAGTTGTCACAAAATAATGATCATTCATTATCTGATAATAATCATAGTCACCCAGACGATGTATCTCAATCAGAATCACTTATAGATTTATCTTATGAAGCACCACTTCCTCATAGCAATTCAAATGATCACACTTATCCTACCGAATCTCCTTATTTTGTGACAAACTTGTCGGATGATGGTTTACCAAAAAACTCATCCCAAGATATTTATAACTGTAATCAACATCAAGATACGCAAAAGGATACGATTCAAGATAAAAATGATGATGATAAAACAATTTCATCTATAGAGGATGCTTCCAATTCTTTGCATGCAAATACAGGCCCTGCTGGCGAGCATTCTTGTACATATCGGGTATCTGGAATATCTAATGATATCAAAGATAATTCTGAATGTAAAGAGTCTCCTAAAATTAACAAACAACCGAGTGATTTTTATAAGTTTTTTATGGCAGATGCCAATAAGAAACATTCATTTATATCTCAGGCTGTATCATCTTATTGTGCATCACAAAAACCTGCGGTCACTACTGTAGGTGTTCCTTCGGCGGCCGTAAAATGGTTATTAAATGATCATAATGATCATATTTTTTCGCCATCTTATTCGGAAACTTCCGCGTTATATTTAAATGACGATGCTCTAACACAAAATGGTATTGATGCTACTGTTGATGGAACATATTTGCAAACTGATGAAGAATATATTAAGTATCCTAATTATTATTCTTCACTATATGGTAACGAAGATATCAATAAGAAAGACACGATCATTGACTTTCGAGAAACACTAAATGGTATTGATATTGATGCTACTGCTGATGAAACATATTTGCAAACCGATGAAGAATATATTAAGCATTCTAATTACTATTCTTCACTATATGGTAACGAAGATATCAATAAGAAAGACACGATCATTGACTTTCGAGGACTTGATCTTTCAGATTTATTTATTTGGAGAAAACACAAATTGCATTAGGATTATTATTATTATTATATATTATATATTATTTTATCATTATTGTTATTGTTTTGCATGTTCATTAAAGTGTAGCTATATAAATTAGGTGTGTTGTGACAATATAGAAAGTATAGAAACATTTTATATTTAATGATTATGTATTACAATTAGAACCTTCGTTTATTAATTGCTAAGTACATACTATTTAACGTTAGAACATGTATATTTATTTAATATCAGATATGCATTTGTTTTATAGATCAAATTTTTAATATACCCAATTTTGAATTACACCAATGTGCTTAATACTATACAGTATCGGTATATAGTATATATATAATTTTTTTATTGCATAGTATTATGGGTCCGGAACATATCATCAACGTAATTTGAATATTTTTTGTCCATCTCGCTCTCTGTTCAAGTTACACTTCACGTATCTATGTAGTTGAATCAAAAAAATAACTTTAAATGCATCAAAAACGAAAATTTTAAGTTCCACTTATTAAAATCGAGACAACTTTAGGTAGGTTGGTGGTGCTATAAAAATGTTGCGGTGATGTGATCAACGACGACTTCGACCCAATAATAAAAAATTACGTATTCTGTTGAAAAGATTATTGGTTTACATTTAAAAGATTAATAATCATTTCAACGTAATACGTAATTTGTATTATCAGGTTGGGGATCACATTACCGCGACATTTTTATGGAATCACTAGGCTTCAATATTGTTGCAACAGCTAGGGTTATTATTACTAATATATTATTTCGACTTGCGTGATAATTGCGATCAATTTTCAGCAAATCAGATCGGTTAGTAAACACATTTAGGAAGACGCTTGAGAACGGCCTTACACGTGATTTGTTTTGTAACATCTTAAGTTTTATTTAAGTTAGGGTTAGTGCTTATGAAATGGGTATGTATTGATATACATATTAGTAAAATCGTCCAAGGAAAACTTTTTATTAGAGCACTAAAGATGGTTTCATATGCAGATTTTTGAGTTATAAGCGATTTTTGACAAAAACGAACATTTGTTTGAATCCCCTATTCGTGCTACGTTACACGTGATACTGGAATTTGATTGGATTGTGTCCCAAAAATCACGTGCCAGAGAATTTTGGTGGAGATACTGCAAATTATGCATTATGCGAAAAGTTGTGATTAGAGTTTCATTTCTTATATCTTAAACCCGTTTTTAACATTTTAAAAATAACACCGGTTCCAAACTATACGACTAGAGGTGCCGTAATGGCAAAAAATGCACGTAACTCATTATGGCTATGGTATTACATTCACACCTCCACTTATCAAAGCATTACTCCTAATTTTTTACTTGTTCGTGTCTACATTTCCGAATTCTCCCGATACCAATACGAAAAATTACAATTATACTTTTATTCTGCCCTAATTTTACCATTTTATACACAGATTATGCTTTATTAATTAGCCCCGATATGCCAATATGCTATCGCATATGATTTTGCGATATTATCTGATTCAAATCGGAGGTAATCCTATATTGGGGTAGTTCTTAATCACAGATTAATCACGAGATTTGTACCAAAATTTTAATCTACACCCCGGGGCGTTATTTAGGCAAGAATTATAAATTAAGCTTAATTCGAGCCAAATTTGTTAACCTACACCCCGAGCGTTTTTTTTCAACCTAAAAAAATTGGTTGGCCAATCAGTTTTCAAGATCAGGAGCTACCACCTTCTGCGCATTAACAAAAAGTTTTCCTTGCAAAATTTTGATATCAGAGACCCTTCTTAACCTAAACTAATAGCAAAACCTAACACTAATCTAGCGGCGAAATTTTTTTAACGAACTTTTTTAGGTTGGTAATTTTCATATAGGACCACATATACATAACGCATTTAAAACCCTAACACATATACTTATCGCCCAAATCCCAAACTCTGGCCAAACTAATATCTCAAAAACTTCCTTAATGATCTTTATTTAAACAAATAATATATTTTTTTATGGCTATATATAATCTATTTGCAAAATATCAAACTTATTTTTTTGATTTAACGTTTATAAAGAGCAATTGCATTTTTGGGGGGGTTGGGATTTGTCCGGCAAGTATACTAACACATCGTAATACCCACAAAAATTTATAATAGAATTAATATTCAATAATCGTAATAGTTTATTTGTATTTTAATAAACTTGCAGTGTAGTTTATTAAGACTCAATAATTTTTAAAAATCTACAAAAGTATTATGCAGCCTTGGAATTGACAATTTCTAAATAAAATTAATATCTGTCATTAGTAATTAAGAATTTTAGATCAGAAAACACAATGATGCTCACTTTCAACGTTTTCAATAGATTGGATGAGAATCTCTTGTTGCTAGAAATAAATCAGACATTTTTTTTTTTTAATAAATAAACCAATTTTATTGTTCCTAAATACGTTTAACAGCCTTACCGTTTTTTCATCCCGTAATTGAGCCATCACACGTTCCATAACATGACTAGCGAGAGCTTTTTGTTCACGTTCACGTAATGAGGCTTCATAACGGACCCATGAGTCTAACACAGATTTTATCTCAGAAGCAGCCGCAAATTTTTGTTTCAATTCGAAGGCTTCGGCTTCCAATTTTGCAGTTTCCTTCATAATAACAGTAAATAAAAATTATAAATAAACATTTCAAGGAAAACATAGTATTGTATTCCCGGAAAATATAAAGTTACCTTGGACATAGCAAACAATGCTTTTGTGATATCAACAATATCGCTTAGTTGACCAATAGTGTTAATTCTTTCTTTGACAGCATGTTTATGATCTTCCTGAGCTTGATCAAGGATGCTATTGACACGCTTTATACAAATTAAAAAAATACCAATAAGAGAATACAATAATAGAACACCTTTGCAAATTATCATGCTAAATTCCTTTCGTCAATTTCTACTATGTAATCTATGTGATACCTACATTCTTTTGTGTTTCAACCCAATCATTGAAGGGCTGCCTAAGTACACGATAGAGAGGAACCATGAGACCAATAAAGGCCAATAACACTACAGTTTCTTCATTGAATATATATAATTCCTTTGAAATAACTAAAGTTACTAGTCCCGTGCCCACGGTAATATAGCCAGTTTTAGTAAGCAAGGAATTGCCAGGCAGGGAATCAATGATACTATGAGCTTTTTTCTTTGGATCTACATCTTTTTTTTAATAATAATAAAAAAAAAAAAAGAGATTATAAATCCAGTAAGCCAAACTGTTATTACCCATCATTAGATCAAGCTTACCATTTTTCGAAGAAACTGTATATTTCCTAATTCTATAGGATCAATGAACAATTATTCAATTAATATAATTCATCGAAATGTATTAAATTATTGCAGATTAATCATCCTCCCGAAAGATATTAAAATAAAACCAAAGATTTATTATATTTGTTGTGTTCTTTTTTTTTCAAAATGAACTCGTACCCGGGGATTATAACGGAACGCTGAGGCACCACAAGGGACCTTATGGCAGGTGCTTTCAATTAAAAAGTATGAAATAAATATCCACTAACATTATTAATCAAATTCCCCAAGTATTTGCCTTTTTACCTAATATACGACTGTTTTGCAAAAGTCTAAGGCTCATTCTTGGTTGCCTTGTGTCCAATCATTAGTAGATATATATAGTACGACCTAAATGTATGATAATAACCAATCATTTATAATTCGGATCACGTGACTGGATAAAGACAAAATTTTGCTAGTATGCGCCCAATTACTACCGCTACATATACCTGAAAATGTAAGTCCTCCGCTACGCTCCGGGCAATTAGTTTTAAAAATTCAGAATTATACTCAAAATCCCACCAAATCCAAAATATAATAAATTCCATCCCAAATATAATACATTTCATCCCAAATCTCGAATCCCAATAGTTTGCCAGCAAGTAAAGATATTCAATGTTGAATCCTGCAATACATCTTAAAATTTCAAGGTTTATGTGTAAATGAAAAAAATCAACTTTTGTACGTATCTCAAAACATATTGTGTTAGGTATGAAGCTACCATTTATATATACTCTGTTTATAAAATTTGCCATAGTTTTAGTAAATTCATAAAAATGCACCTATGATCGAAAAGTTCGCGGGTAAATATTTTGAAATGATATTCGACATACTCTTACATTAATAACATATAAGTTGTATGGAAATATCTGACTTTTCTAAAAAATAAAATTAACATGATTTATATCAGTTCTTTCATAATACGTATCAATTTTTTTAAAAAATTTTATGTTTCATTAGATATAAAACTAATTTTAAAATACTGTTAAAAATCAAGAAAAAAAATGATCTAATCTACAGCTTAATTTTTTTTTTCAACGCAATTTAAAAAAAAAAGGTATGTTATATAAGGCCATACAAATTTAATGACTTGTTTTCATAACATGAAACTTTTAAACCGACACAGCCGGCTTTTTTTTTCTTAATTTCATATATAAAAATTTTATAAAAATTTTTTTTAAAACCTATCCGATTATTAAAACATAAGGTTTTTTAAAGTTTTCAAGTTGTGACTATACTTGCTGGCAAAACACGAATAAATCCCAAACCCCTAAAAAACAAATTGCTTTTATAAAAAATCAAATCAATAAAATAATTTTGATATTTTGTAAATATATTATTGTCCGAAGCGTAGCGAGAACGTTTATACTTCTACACCATTTCATGCAATGTCCGTTAAAGATAACCAATCAAAGTTTTAGATTAGGTAACACGACAGATTCTTGCATATTTTATGCTTCGGACTTATAACGGTTCCCGTTTTCCTAGTATATAGTTATAAGAACATATATTATTTGAGTGTGTGAAAACCTGGAAACCGATTTAATGATCGGTTTCCAGGTTTTCACTCTCACACACACATTTGTTTAAATAAAGATTATTAATAAAATTTTGAGATACGTATTAGTTTGGGCTTGAGTTTGGGATTTGGGACAGATAAACCCAAACTATAATTAGTTTGGGGGCATCAGGTTATGTAAACTAAATAATTACTGTACTGCTTTGATTAAATGACCCAAATAAAATACCTAAATAAAAACTTATAAATACCTGGGTATATTGTATGGCAGAGGACCTCTATTGCTACATGCACGTCTCTATTTATGGTATGCGGTTAAAAAAAGCTGCTTACGACTAATGAAATTGTTGCGATTTTAACCCTGATGTTTTACATGCGGTAATTTTGTATAGCCTAAGGCCATACAAACTAATAAATCAGTTTTCATAACTCGGCCGAGTCAAAATTTACAAAACTCAAAAAAATAAAAGTCAAGTACACTTAATATAAAAAATTTTATATGTTTTATATATATATATAATTTTTTGAAAATAAAATTAAAAGCCGGGTCACTCTGAAAATTTTTATGTTATGAAAACCGATTTATTAAGTTTATATGGCCTAATTTAAAATGGTATTTTTTATTATTTAACGCATTTGTTTCTAAAGTAAATAAAGGTCCAGCGATAACTGCTGTTTTAATTTGGTAAACCAAATTTTGCATAGTATAAGCCGTCAAAAAAAAAAAAAAATTTAATAATAAAATAATTCAAACAAATCTTGCTAATTATATAGTAATAATCGTTAAATACGCGGGCATTATATTATAAATCAATTGCTTGATACTGACACAAAAGTAATATTACGGCTGATTCTAAAACTTGGTTGAAACTAATAATAAACGGACAATCCAGGTTATATAATTAAAATTTCATCAATAAGAAATTGTCCATCCACGGGATAGGCATATAATAGGTAATTATTATTTATTTTATTACTCTTGCTCATTTTGCTAATCTTCAACGGCAATATTAAATTGTATCTTTCCTTAAATAAACGCTAAAATGCTATAAAAGACAAATTATTATACAATGATAATTAACCTAATATTTTTAAACAGCTTTTATTTATCAAAAAAAAAAACCACAATTATTACCTTGGTAAAACAGATTGCGATTTTAATACAACTTCTTGCCATTCCGATTCTGGGTTTGAAAGATGAACAATCGCACCACCAGCTCCAATAGATATATCTAATTATAACTTATTATTAACCTCACCGAAAATATAATCTTATAAATGAAATAACTATTACATGATCATACCAGTTCCATTACAAACAACAACAGTTCTTATGACGACGCTAAATTGAGCTGTATCTTTTTGATATCCATCTTGTAAAGACACATATCCTAAACATCCAGAATAAATTCCTCTCGGAGAGTTATTTTCTAATTCATTTAGAAGATGAATGGCACGCAATTTAGGTGCACCTGTCATGGATCCTATTTAAAATCTCAAATTTTAGCTTGTATATTAATAACTGAATTTCAAAATGAATCAATATAGCAAGCATACCCGGTGGAAAACAGCGTTGTACAGCCTTAACACAATCTAAGTAATCACACAATTTTCCACGAACAGTGGTCACAAGTTGATGAACAGTTTCATAAGATTCTACTTTCATCAAATCAGGAACTTCTACAGTATGTGGTGGACATATTTGCGCCAAATCATTGCGGATCAAATCAACGATCTATTATTCATTCAATAGTATGAATTAGTTACAAATTAACATGATAGAGTTATAACTTATATATATGGGGTTGAGTCAATAGAAATCAAGCAAATTTTTTTTAAGTAAATTGGTTTGAAACTTTAAACAATGATAACTTAACTAAAACTTTATCAAATTTTATAAAACTTTTTTGAAATAAATGCTACAAATTTGTAGAATTCATTTAAAAAAATTTTTATTAAATTTGATTAAGTTTTTATTGAATTATTGTTGTTTAAAGTTTCAAAAAAATTTTAATAAAAACAATTTGCTTGATTTCTATTGACTCACCCCCATATGATAAATTAGACAAACCATTAGGTTCTCAGCACGTTCTTTTAAGTCTCCTTCAAGAACATGTTTTCTCCTCGCATCATCTTTTTCTCTAATTTCTTCACATCGTGAACCATTATCACATTTTTCCACTTTTGAACAAACACAGCCTTTTGCTCTCGCAAGAGTGCCCTTAATTGGTTTCATTTCTACAACACCTTCACTATTTATTTGAATAAATTTTTCAGGAGATGAGCTTAATACTGCTACATCTTCTGTTGGAAAATAGAGAAATGCAGAAAATGGCGCAGGATTATCCAATCTAATACGTTGATAAAGTTCGCAAATATCACTGAGTCTATTTTGTAGTGAAGTTCGAATTTGTGTGGTAAGACAAATTTCATAGCATTGACCTTCATAGATATATTGAAGTGACTTTTCAATTGCTTTTATATAGGAATCAGACATCATGTCGGGAACAAAGGGAGGTTGAATTGTAGTAGAAGAAGGCTTATAATTATTATTAATTGATACTACATGAGGTTCAGCATTAATGTTGCATAATTTTTTTTCAGTAGACATGACCCATGATAAAAAATCTGAATATGAAAATCCAGTAATACTACATAATTCACCAACATCTATAGAATTCAATGAAGCAGAAACATCGCAGTCATCACGTACCAAACCAGTAACCCACATGCGCTTCTCGATATGATCAAATATTATTGCCTGAGTTGCGAAAACAAACGCAGCATCTGGACTATTACATGCAAAAGAATGATCCGAATTTTCTTTTGGCAAAGAACAACTAGGCATTGATTCTAGTTTCATTTCATAACCAAAATATCCCACCATTCCTAACCGAAAATCAAAAGGTAGTCTATGTCTAATATTTTCAAGACTCCCATCATTATGCAATATCCGTAACCCAGCAATACGCTGGTTAAAATGTGACATTATATCGGACATCCAATCCCAAAATGTTTGATCATCTGCGAGTTTTTTTGATTTCACTAAACCATTTGAGTATGTGATCGATAATGTTTTATTATGCGTAGAATATGATGTTGAAAAGGAATTTGAAAAGGCTGGTGTCGAACCCATATACGAAAATCGATTTTGCGGGTCTGGTTGCTGATACGGTAATGATTAATTGTTAATGATAAATAAACAAATAAATACAGACTAAGTTTTTTATTTTATTTTAATACCCTTGAGCTGTCCAACCACCATTTTCCTGTAATGGATTTATCGACAGAGACAATACGCTTAAAGACGATTGATGGTTCAACCCAAATATCTTTATCAAGTTCCTTTATTATGAGAATGTGCCCGGGGAAAGTCATCGAGATTGATGGTCTAGGTAGGTTAACACTTATAGGGACTACTGAAAGTGACGTAATAGACTGCGGAAGTGTAGGTCTTGGAAACAAAACTCCTCGCTATATTATTACATATACAAGAAATTACTAAGAAATTACTAAAATAATATAACGAATAAATTATATTACTTTTTTTAAAAATAAGTGCGATATAACTTGGAAATTTTTTAGAATTTGATTTCCATATTCAGTACAAACAGACTAGTGGGGAAAAATGGTCATATCAATTAAAATAAGAAAAAAAAAAATGCTGTCTTTAGCGATCATTAAAATTTTGAACAAACCATGCCTCTGGATGAAACTGAACGCCAAAAATTGGTTTAGACGAATGCTTTAAGCTCATGATTGTATTCAATTCTTTAGGAGGAGGCTTATTGTCGAGAAGCCCTTCCTGCAAATCATCATCGTCTTCGGAACACCAAGCTGAAATTTTTAATTGTTGAGGCAAACCTACAAATAACAAAGTATTAATCAAATTTTTAATGTGAAGCTGCACCATAAATGATTATATACCTTTATTATCGATCACCAAACTATGGTATCTGACAGCACAAAATGGACTTGGTATGCCTAGGAATAAAGACGTGTTATCATATGTTCCATCATGATAAACAGGACTTAACCTTCCATGCATTATTCTTTTAGCATTTACAACCTAAGGATTGAACAAAATCAGTTTTATAATATCAAAGAACCATATTTTATTGTTGATCAAAAAAATAACTCACATCAGAACCAAAAGAGACGCCAATGCCTTGATGTCCTAAGCATACACCTAGAATTGGAATGTTATCTAATTCAAGGATTTTTGCACATATACCAAAATCCTAAAAAATTTTTGGATAATTTTTAGAATTTATAAATTCTTTCAATAGAAAAAAAAAAAAAAAAATCTTTTTTTGATGGATATTTCCGTACAGAAGCGTTCTTCGGACTACCTGGTCCTGGTGATATAATGATATTGTCGAAATGTGGAAGTACATGATTCTTAAACTTTGTCCTATATTAAAATTTTATAAAAATTTAATAATTATATCGAGTTTCTACAAATTGATAATGGAGCATGCCAAGAAAGCATACCAAGAAAACTGGTCATTTCTGATCACAACTACGTTTTTGACGCTTTTTTCGTCACCCCATAGTTGAAGCAAGTTAAAAGTATAGGAATCATAATTGTCAACAATTAATGTTCGTAATGACGGAATGTCCATTGCTTCGAATACAACTTAAAAATTAATTCAACTTGATCTAACGTGCATATATCCCAAACATAGAAAAAACAAATCTATTTTTCAACCAATCAGAACCGGAAATGGTTATAAATAAAAAAACTTTTTTTTTTCTTGCCAGATAAATCTGATCTTTATTTATTACTACTAAACCATGATTACAAACAGACAGTCCTTTCAAAGATTATTAGGTACCAGTTGGCGTTTTACTACACATAAAACTAGCTTTTCACAAAATAATGAGCATTATTCACGTATTTTATTACCTTATTCTCGAATAAATTCTATTTCAACATTCCGTAGAGCTAACGATAATATTCCACAAAATGGTCAGGGAATCCGATATGTTATTGGTTCCGCAGTGATTGCCGGGGTTGGCGGATCGGTTTATTATTATTTTCAAAAAAGAAAAGGAAAGCAATCCATTGATAATTCAAATAATCAACATCATAAAATTATTCTTTCGCCACGGGAGGCTACATTAAAATTACGAGAAAATCAATTATCATTTTTACTTCAGCGTAACAACGGAGTTTATCGTTATGATACGAATCAATTAGCATCAAATAATCCAATCGAGGATACAAAATGTGAATTAATTATTCCAAGTTCAAAAAATGGTGGCGATCGTTTATTTTTTGGTATATTTGATGGTCATGCTGGTTGGAATGCATCACAATTACTTAGTAGAAAATTAATCCCTTATGTTAAAGAACATCTTGATAAAGCTTATGATGGATATGGTGAATATTCAAAATTAATTTCAAATAAAAAAGAATTAATTTCAAAAGCTATTCAAAATGCGTTTACTGAGTTGGATGAAGAGATTGTCTTTCATTCAATTGATAGATTGTTAAATACACAAAATGGGTCCGGTGGTATTTCTTATATTAATGAAAGTTTATTATCGGCATTGTCTGGATCTTGTGCAATACTTGCATATATTGATACGGCTACAAATGATCTTTATGTCGCTTGTACGGGAGATTCGAGAGCCGTACTTGGGGTCAAAGATCCAACAACAGGCGAATGGAAACCAATACCTTTAAGCGAAGACCAAACAGGTAGAAATGAACATGAAATAGTAAGATTAGATAAGGAGCACCCGGGAGAAGGTGATATTATCGCAAAAGGACGGGTTTTTGGAGGGCTGGAGCCAACTCGGGCATTCGGCGATTCTAAGTAAGTCATACGAATTCGGTAATGATTATCATTTTTACCATTAAAATGAAATTAATTAACTTCTCATACATTAGATATAAGTGGGATAGAGCCCTACAAGAAGTGATTTATTCTAAATTCTTCAATGAAAAACGTAGCGTCCCTGGGGGTGACCGATATAAAACCCCACCTTATGTCACAGCCAGGCCTGAGGTTACACAACATAAGATCGGTCCAGACGATAAATTTTTGGTTTTGGCAACGGATGGTCTATGGGATCGGTTATCAAATGCGGAGGTTATAGAACTTGTTGGACTTTTAATTGATGGAAGACGAAATGGAAAGAATGGTAGAGAGTTTACTACCATACAAAAAGATTCGAATGTTATTGGCTCAAAACAACAAAAAGAATTTGCATTTGTCGATGAAAATGCGTCTACACATTTGATACGTAACGCACTTGGTGGTGCAGCTGAAGATGTTTTATGTGCAATGTTATCTCTTCCTCCACCCATGTCTAGAAGGTGGCGGGACGATATTACCGTAACAGTGGTATTTTTTGGCAAAGATTAATATAACCAGCTAATGCTATAATGTGAGTTCAGGTCAATAGGAGGACATTCATATGATTGGATAGTGCAAATAAATTGCCGGGTAACTTATTTATACGTTTTAAAGCACTTTTTAAAACAGAACATTTCACTAATAAAAAGCCACCTGTAGTTTTAAAACACTGTAAATAAAGAATCTCAAAAAAGATCATACTCCTGGCAGATTTTGCCTAGAAGATAAAAATATACCAACGTCAATTTAACCGTACAAGATTATAGTATAAAATGAAGGTAACTGGAAATGTTTTCGCCTAAGACTACTTTATTACGTCAAATTTAAATAAATTTCTATTGTTAACTTTTAATTTGAATAGGTAAAAGCTCTTTAGTAGTCTAAGATCCGGTTTAATGTTAAATTTGGTCGATATTGTCAACCGCAAATTAACGTTTACTCTGTTTATTGTAGGTTTTTTTAATTAGTTCAGGTTTATTAGTAATAAATATTGCATTTATCCACTTTACCGTATCTATCTATTCTCTAAACATACAGTTCACCCGATCCTGTTAAAACCGATAGCCTCCTCATAAGTGATAAAAAATTGGTTTACCATGCTCGTTCCATAATTTAAACTCGATAACATGCCATTTCTAATAACTGATACGTATACGAAAAATATATTATAGTTGTTAAACAACTATAATATATAGTCTAAATCTGAATCGATATGAATTGGTTCTGTGTAATAATATTATTTAGCCAATCATATTGAGATTCTGTGCCAGGTTTTGTGGCGCAGATTTTAGGATCATAATCAAACAAATGTCCGTTTTATCAAAAATCATGAACAACTGCCTTTAAAGCTCTAACAAAAAGTTTCTTTGAGCCATTTTACTATTTAATCACCTAACCTTAGCCTCGTCGCTAATCCTAACTACACAACGAATTTTTAAAATTTTTGTTAATTGCAAGACTGCGCTACAACTAGGATGGTTGGTAAGCTGGCGAACAAACTGGTGAGACAATAGTGGTGAGAGTCTTGCCACTATTCGGCAAGCTAAAAAAAAGCTCGCATCGCCAGTTTGCGGTATTGAATTCGTGATAATTTCTTTTGTGTACTTATTAGCGTTAGCGTTAGTTTCAAGCTTTCTTATATTCGTTTTTTTAGTAATTTTAAATTATGTAATCGATTGGTTACCTAATTATAATGTGTAATCACGGGTAGGGTTAGATCGGTCCGTCCCGGTCTCTAATAAGACCGGTCCAATAGTATCTATCCGTTCGGTTCCCCGGTCTCAAAAATAAGCTATTTTAGCTATCATTATCGAAATAAAAATTATCTTTATGTAATACATAAATGGTTTTTTTTAACTATTTAAAAGTTTATAGTTTTTTTTTTTAACTATTAAAAGCTTATTTTAATAGTTTATATATATAATAGTTTATAAGTTTATCATTAACCGGTCTGAGCTGATTAAAGACTGAAAACGAAGACTGTGTAAGTAAAAATTATTTGGCACTGGGGGTGACCAATCATTATTATATAGTTTAAAGTAGTAATATTTATTTGTCATACCGTATGATTGGTCACGCCCCAATGCCAAATTATTAAGATCGGCATGGTGATTAACGAATAAAAATTTACTTATAGGTTTTTCCTCATTTTACATCATTTATACAGTTTAGAGTACTTTTTAAAAAAACGAAAACTAATTAGTGAAATAAAAAAAGCTGTATAGAAATAAAAAAAAGCTGTATAGAAGGTTTCATTAGAGCTGTAGGACTCCACAGCCAAAGATATGATCTAATTCTCGGTCGTTTAAAAAAGTTAGCATAGTAATAACTTCTCAAAATCCGATAAAAACAACTTATTATTAAGCTTACTTTTTTAAACGGACGAGAATTAGATCTTATGTTTGACTATGGGGTCTTACAGCTCTAATGAAAGCTTCATATAGTTTTTTATTTATTTTATTGTGGTAGGTTTTCGTTTTTTTAAAAAAGTTACTCTAAACTGTGTAAATAATGTAAATCAAGTTGAATTTATTAGCCAATCAGGCGAACTTTTGCCTATGAGGTCTAATCACGGGTAGATATGTAAAAAAAATTACGCAGTCAGACGACCCTCTTCCTATGAGGGTGCAGGTTATCTTTATTGTTTGTTGATTCAAATGACATTAATGCGAATTAAAAATCCGACACGCATTTTAATCCCATTTCCATAAACAATTTTGATTGAGGTTTTTCCTGTTTATTTTCTTCTTGTTCAAAAAGTTGAGTTATAGATCCTTGAGGTGCTTCTTCAGGCCTAAATACAGGTCATATGAGTAGGTCTTTGGTGAAAGATAGTATTTTAATTAAGCGTGGAAATACCATATTACGGGAGCCGCCAATTTCTTTAGTAAGTTATCACAAGTTGACCAACTGAAGCGCATGACTTGTGGAAATCCGAATACGGGATCCATATTATTTTTTAACCAGTACATTGTGTTTGGATCTTTTTTTTTTTTTTAACATGTTACAATAATTGATTCATACGTAGCAAGATCTCAACAATCGTTCACAACACACCTGACGGGTATCCGGAGCCAAATATTTTTGATGATTTTAATCCTTTTTCAACAAATGTCCAGTGCTTCAAGACTTGATCGCGCGTGACTTTAGCGCAGATACTTGCAGCGCTCACAATAGGAAATTTACTATCTGCTTTTTTCTCTACCGTTATATCTATTCCAGGAAATATGTTTGAAAGTTTTGTTTTATATGACTCAGGAGGCCCTACCGTATCGATATATATCTAAATGAAAGATAATTGATAACACAAATGTATATAAGGCATGAGAATATAAGAGACACTGAAACTACGGGTATTTATTATAAGAATTGAAAATCCTACAAATAATATCTACAATTTCGGCGCCCTGAAGAACGCGTAAACTATGAACATAAGACTAACCTTAGTCACATTGACTCCCTGAGCTAATACCTGCTGAATCAATTGGATTGTGGTATCATGCGCCTGAGCATTCAGATTATACTTATTTCTTAAATATAAATAATCGAATTAGTTTGAGTTTGTATGCCAATTTTCGTTCATTATATTCACATTTTTAGCATATTCCATGAAATATCTTGAGGTGATAATACACGCACACTCCATGCAATATTCTCCAGATTTGATTGAATTAATTGAAAATGGGACTCTCGATGACTTTCTTTCAGAGTTTTCGAGTCTTTTTAATACAAGACAAAAAAAAAGCATGAAAATTTTATTTGAATAGGAAAAAGAAAAATATCTTTAAAAATATCTACCAACGAAACCCAACTTAGACACTTGGTCATACTTAGAAAGTGGGCAAAAACAAATACCATAAACCATCGGACCTATTTTAAGAGATTACGCGTTATTAACGCGTACTTCAATATTAACAATAGTTTAATGAGTATAGGGATGCTAACATTTTAATCTGGTCCAGTTTGATCCAGTCTTAATTTTGTTTTTTTATGGTCTATAGTTCTTGGAATATTTTGATTCTAGACCAGCCTTATGCAGAGCTGGCAATTTGATAAATTGGACATACCGTAAACCCGCGAAATAATGCCCATGATCGTTATTTCGCGGTTTTACAGTAAAAAAAATTCCACGAATTGGGTATAAAACTCTATATGTTCAATTAAGCAAATACAATTGAACATATAAGCATTTTAAAACACTAGCCTTATGACTTACGTCTAAGACCAGATTGTTAGCATCCCTAAATAAGTATCACCATTACCAAGAACGGGACCTCTTCCAGCTTCGTCTACACCTAAAACGCAAGGTTCTCTCTTGTTAAGTTCCAAAGCTGAGGGTAGCGGGGAATGGTAAGTATAAGAACTCGTTAACGGTCCTGCTTGGACTGATGGTACATCAAAAACGACACCCTCATCTTCCGAAGCAGATGAATATTCAGAGTTAAACGCGTCCATAACAATGTTGAAAGGCAAAAACCATTGGTATTTGTGCGAGTGATACAAATCCAAAAAGGGAGATTAGCCAATCGGAGAATGTAAAGTGATTATCTCGACATGTGAGCGAAAATACAAGAAAACGAATGTCTTACAATCTCAAAGTGCACATTTCATTTTTCTCGAATTACGTACGTAGTAGAGTGGACTGAAACATGTAATGCGCATATATGTGCATATGTGGTCACGTTTAATGTGAATCATATGTGCACATATGTACCGCAGTATATAACGATAAATCC